GAAGATAAGTTCAAGAAAAAGCACAAATATGTGGACGGAGTCCTTCAAAGAAATTACGTACGTATAATGAATGAATTACGTATAATGAATATTTTCCTGAGGTTGATTTGTAAAATTTTTCATTCAATGATTTTTTTTTTTTTTTAATCATTTCATTCATTGATTCAAATTTCATTCAATCCAATATTCTAATGCAGCGTTTCTTAAACTGTGCGTCGCCAAAAATTTAGCAGTTTTTATATTTCTTTAACTTGTTATAATAATTTTACAATTACCAAATACTTTTACACAATGTATCTGGAAATAGGTAAAAACATGTCAATATGGACAAGGTGAAAAGGAAAACGTTTCGACGCATTCTTTTTATAATAGAAACGTTCATTTTACATGCTTTGCACGTGACGTTGCCATTTCGTCTGTTACTTATTTAAACAATTCACATTCTTCTATGTTTTAAAATTAGGAATTTAAGTTAATGACCTAAAACTGCAATAATGCATTACAGTACAAGTGAAAAAATTGATATTTTCACACATGTGTGTTTCTGATTTACGAAATACTTATGGGATCCCACAAAACTTTCGTAAATATTATAGGGTCCTGGGGTAGCGACAAAATCTCAGTGATAAAAAAGGGTCGCGATTGAAAAAAATTTAAGAAACCCTGTTTTAATGAATGGTGACACGTTAATCAAGAAGTCAAATAAAATAGCACTTCGACTAAATGTTGAGGAAGCTTGCTTTTCAATTGTATGGCTGCATAAATTTAGATTGCGACATGGAATTTCATATCATATAATAAATAGAAAATAAAATTTAAAAAATGCCGCCGAGATGGTATAGTGCTTAGGGAAGCCTAACTGCGATACCGAAGGGCCTGGGTTCGAATCCCGGAGAAGGCATGGTTGTAACTGTTCGCTTCTTCATAGGAGGCGATGGTGGTCTATTAGGTGGCTCCATAATCCATAATAAAGAGACCATTACATCTGGCCTTGTATAGATTAATTGCCTGGGTTACACTGCAACTGTTCACAATTGGCCATTGGAAAAAGAAAAAATAATAATAAATGGAAAATCAAAAAGTGTTCCAGGTGAGCCAGTTGAAGAGCGGTTCAAAAATTTATTCACCAAAAAAGATTTATATGAATTAACCCTTTTTATCTCCCAGATGAAAGCTGCAAAATTCCATTTAAAATGCATACATTTATGCCTTTTAGTTCTCTACTAGTATTTATTCATGGTAATAATGTAAAATAATTCTTTGTGTGTTTAATTTTGAAGCAGTTTTTATTTCTACTGCGATTTAAATCGTCTGAACAACTTTCGGTGTTAGAATGAATATTTTTATGTAAAAGTTTCTTTTCTTTTCTAAAGAAATTATTACTTAAATTCATATATATTAATTAAAAATGGTTGAAATTAAAAGATGGGACCAAATACGTCCCACGGCGCATGTAGAATTGCTGCTACTAGATGGCAGCACCATTCAAATATTTTTAAATTCAAGTATGCTCATTTTACATGCTGATAATGCAAATTTATATTTTTTAATGAATTGCAATAGTGTTAAAACTTGAAAAATATTTAGTATTTTTCCAAAAGAAATGAAAGTATAACTCTGTAACATGAAATTTCATTGAATACTGAATGTAAAATGTAAGTGTGATTCACTATAGAAAAATATCCCAAGCAGAGGAAAGAAAGGTGAAATGTAAATCATAACGGCTTTCTAAATATCTTCCTTTTCAAACCTGTAGCAAATAAAGTACTGGAGTGAAAATCGTCTCTGTTTCAAACCTATTATGAAATCATTAAAAAATATCCAAAAAGTCGTACAGAGAGCGATTTTTTAAAAAATTATGTTTTATTTTGTAAATATGATCAATATTTTCTAGATAATTATTCAAAAACGTTTTTTATATCTTGCATTCTCAATTGATTGCTAAAACTAGCACTTTCGATAAGCATGTTAGGAGAATTTACGCAATGGCAAAGATGCCATTTTACTGCTCTAGGTGCACGGTGGGACAAGCAGTATCTCACCATGTCATGAATTACCTTAAAGGTTTACCTGTTGTTGTTTTTTCCATGAAATAACATTGTATTAGAGGCTAGTTACCTATGTGAAAAATTATTTTTTTTCAGAAAAAAAAATTTTTTTTAATGCACCTAACCTCAAAGGGTTAAAAGACACTTTTAATGGAGCTGCATTTTTCTTTAAACTTATGCCTGCAAGAACCCTAAAGGTGACCAGTATCATGGAACTAAGCAAAATAAAGAAGGTCTCACTTTACTTTCTGCAAATGTTGATGGTATGGAAGAAATGACTCCTTTAGTTATAGGAAAGTAAAAAAAAAAAAGTGCTTCAAGCATGTTAGTTTTGCCATTAGAATATAAAAGCAAATAAAAAAAGGATGAATGACTATGGACATTTTTGCAGAATAGGCTTAAGAAAATAGATTAAACTATGAGAATCGCAACTATATTATATAAAAAAAAAAAAAAAAACCCAGCAAATTTTTACTTTTTATGGATCAGTGTACCGTCCATCCTCAAACAACATATTTCTTACAAAGTGTGAAAGTTATTTTTCCCCGACAAATTGTACTAGTGTAATACAACCTTTAGATCTGGGTGTCATTAAGAATTTGAAAATATTCCACAGGCAAAGTTTAGTTCAAACAGTCCTTCAAAATAGAGTTTACACAAGGAAAATTTAAATATTCTTGAGGTTATGAGCATGATTTCACTTGCTCGGAATCAAGTAACACCAAAAACAATTAAAAATTCCTTCATTAAAGGGCAATTTTCAAACTCAAGAGTACTGGTGTACATTACCATTGCTTTTTTAGCAAGTACATGCAGGAGCACTATGGCAAGGAACCTTTACCATTTTTTCCAAATGAAAAATATTTTTTGATCACTTGTATATCTTTTGATAGTCTTATATATCTCATAACTAAATCTTCGAACTATGTTCAAAATTTGATTATTGATGGAAGTGATTTTTATATTCTTGTGAATTTTGAAGTTCATGAGCAGCTAAAGAATGTTAATGAGAATTCTAATTGTCTTATTCTAAAAAATGCAATCCTAGAATTAGTATAATTAATAATTGGAATTAGTATAATAAATACACCGAATTTCAAAACGTGCAAAAACGTAAATTAACATATATCTTAGGAAAGTTTGAATAAAAAACTATAATTTTTTGCAGGTGTGCTTAGAAATACATCTACTTTAAGATGATGACAGAACTTTTATAAGTTTTTTGAAAAATTTATAAAAATTATTTAAAGATACAAATTTAAAAATAAAACATAAAATAGGCAACTTTTATTTGAAAAAAAACCTAAATTTTTAAATATGAAGGAAGAATCACATAAGTTTAATAAAAAGGTATTAACATATCAAATTCATTACATTATAAATATATATATGAAATTCAATTAACATTGAGGAGCTAAAATTTTAACAGCTAATTGTTTAAAAACTTGGCAGTTTGGCAAAATTTGAGTAGAATTGAAATATGCAAAAAAATTGGCATGTCATATCAGAAAAAGGTCAGATTTTTTTTTTTTCCAAAATGCCTATATTAGAACAAGGCTATATATAAATCTAATATCCTAAGTCGTGCTTTCAAGACATGAAAAACACAAATTGAATTTCATCAGTCGGCCCAGTAGAATGGAAGAGATAACTGTCCTTTTTTATTTCCTTGTACGAAGAAAAAAGGAAGTATTGTAATCGCGAAAAGTTTCAGGCAGCATATTTCAACGAAAATATCCATTTTGACCGCTACCGAATGCAATTTAACAATGTTTTTGCGTGATATCTTATGTAAGGACAGAATAAAAGACTCGTTTCCACCAAAAAAATTATAAAACTGCTTTAAATTTAATTCTGAAGAGAATTTTTCTGGCATCTGTACGAACATATGTATCTCGCATAACTCAAAAACGAGTAGCCTCAGGACGTTGAGATTTTCTATAAAGGACTGCCATAACATATAGATGTGCACCTTGTATTTTGGTTGCAATCAGCCGCACCAAACGTATAGAAATATATTTATATATATATTCACTGTTACCCCGCTCAGTGATCTCAGTTTCTTTACTCTTATATGTCTGCAAATTGTGCATTTTTTGCTTTAAAAAGGATTGAATTATGTTGTTTTTATCTTCCAGTTAAGGTTTTTATGCCTTTAGTAAACCTGTATGCAAGATTTTTAGAATTATCAACAATTTTAAAATTGTTTAAGTGTCGCTAAGCCTTTTCTTTTTGGTGGCCACTGATTGTTTACATTTGAAACAGCAGACTAGTGGATTTGTTGCCAATCTAGAGAAACTTAGCTGTGCAACAACAAAGATAACGCCTTCATTTATTATTGCCAATTAAATCATGCTTAATCCTTTCTGGAATTTTTTCAAGGAAATAAGTGTTTAAGATTTACTTTGTAATTTTTAATACAGATATTTTGAGTTTTTATGTTTTTTTTGCCTTGTCGCGAAGTGAATCTGAATTAATTGAATGAGAACTACCGAATCGTCCGTGAAAAACTGTTTCTTATTTTCTGTTTGTTTAATTTCTTTTATACATCGTTTTAGATTATAATAGTATTTGAATAGAACATGTGTCAACAATTAGATGTATCTTCAGATGATATTAATTTTGCGCATTTTGAGTTATAAAATGAATGAAATGTAACGCTGTTAAGTGTACCTAGCGCCAGAGTGTCGCTATGGTGAACAAATCTAGTGAATTTTAAAGAGTGCATTTATTCTACTGTGGTTTATGCGCTGTCGGCGAAGTAGATTTAATTCAACCCAATAAGTTTAAATGAAATGCAAGGAAAAATGCGTATAATTTAATATTCCGTACAAGGAAGTCATGTGGTGTACACATCAGATTTTTTTATGCAGTGTACATACAGTACCTACAGAATGGGTTCCTCCCCTTCCCAGAGTATGCTTTCCTTTAAATATTTAATAAAATGAAATGTGACATAAAAAAAGAACATTTTATTTATACATTAAGCAGACACACAAATTAGGAATAGTACAAATGTTGACATCAATCAATTTTTCCGAGTGCACGAATCCTCTGCAGCAGTGGTGGGTGGGAATGATGCCATGCAGAAAATAACCAGTCATGCACAGGAAAACCCAAGTTATCACGGTTTAGCTTCACCAAAGCACTGCGCAAGTCAGCTGCTTTGTTAAGTAATTTAGCAAAGGCATCTGCTTGGAATTCAAATCGACGAGAAAGAACAGTCATTAAGAAAGATAGCACCTAAAAAATATGAAATTGTATATAGTGATATTTCTTATACATTTACATTTCATTTACAAAAATAATTTAATTCACGTAACCATATTAATTGGTTCAATGTAAATCTTTAAAAATCTACCAAAATACATTTTTAAAAATAAGGATTTTGTACACAAGTACATAATGTATGACATTAAACACAACTTGAATTACAGTAATCCTACAAATATTCATAAAAATTCTGAATTTGATACATTTTTTGTGATTTTTTTATAATTTTTATACATTTTAATTTGCAGTAGTTAAACCAAAGCTTCTAAAGTGTTTATTGCATTTAAATCACTCATTTTACTACACAATTACAAATCTAAACAATAAAATGCAGGATTCCCACAGGACTTCAACTCTTAATTTCCCCACCTTTCCATAAATACTGAACTCAAAGAAAATATGAGTAACTGAATAATTTTTTGCATTTACTACAAAATATGATGATGATGTAACTATAAATAATTTACTCTGCTTTACTCACTGCTGTTAAAAAAGTACAGAAAACTTGCAACTAAATGATTAAAAAAATAAATTGGGTTTCTAAACTGAAATAAATATCGGATCTATGAAAACTACCCATCCCACAAAAATAAATTTGTAACAATATACAATCGATAATAATAAATATTTTGTTTGTGTACTTCAAAATAAAATTAATGAGCTAAGAATTACATTTGATGGTCAAAAAAAGTTAGTTAATATAGTTATAATAAACTTACGATCACAATTATATAACGTATAACTTATAATCACATAATGGAGGAGAAATATAGTTGGACAAAATCGAATCAGGTTTTCGTTTATTTCGATTGCAGCAAAGATCTGAAAGGTTATCTCTGCCTATGGAGACGGGGTGCCTTCGTGAAGCACCTTCTAAGGGAAACTGGAATACTAGCTCAAACTACCAGTGTTCAGCAGTTTTTCTCCACTCGGGTGCTGCTGGGTTCAAATCCTGAACAGATATGAGGTAAGGAAAAGAAAAAAAAAACTTTCTTGGAGAGGTTAAGGAATATTACAACTCTTTATTTGCTTTCTTTCCTTTTTTTTTTTTTTTTTTTTTCAAATGTGTAAAATCCTAAAGTTTATTTTCACTGACATTCTTAAATCATTTATCATTTTCCTTATTTTGCCCATGAATTAAAGAACTTACTTTTCAGTAAAAGGTAAGTATCTGACAACCATCCAGCATAAGGCCAGTTGAAGGGTAAACATTTTACGTTTCTCACGATTGCAAGATGTAATAAACATGTTTAAATAATAAAACCAGAGTAAAATAATACAATTTAACAGACCAAAACTTTTAGAAAGACTTAGTCAGCCTTAGTGAATTTTTCTAGAAACTCTTCACTCAAAAAATTTAAATGTATAAATTTAGCAAATTTTAAAATGAAACTCAATATTCATTTTATATTTAATTACCACTATTAATTTCTTTAGACATCAGATATTCAGTTTGTTATGAGGACAAACAAATCTCTAACTGATTAAAAGGGATCAGCATGACATTTTTTTTAAGATTTAAAAATAACAAGTATATAAAATAATACTTAAGCAATTAAATAAAATTTTAGAATGAGTAATTTAACTAAAATACTCACCTCATTATATGGTGAAAACACGTACTGGAAAATGACCAGGAGACCAACGATGACAGGTTGCTCATTGAAAAAACCAAAGGCAGCATACAGGGACTGATTTTTGTATAGCAATGCAAATACAGCAAAACAGAGGAAAAAGTTTACCTAAGAAGGACAAAACCAATATTAAAATAATATCAGGATATTAACATCATAAAATGATTAACTTATCATTCAAATCTAAAGAGAAAATTTTGAAAATACCTTTTTGTTTCAAAGCTAAAAACAATAAAATTAGGCATTACAAGTTTGTGGAGTTTTTAACAAATCCAATATGAAATGGACACCCAGATTACATGCTGTACAGCATAGGAAGAAGTGAGCAGGCCATGAGAACTTCACTAGTGGTTTAACAGGTATTTTCAACCATGGTAAAAGCAACACTGTTTGGCATTCTGCCAAAATACTTAGAATCGTCCATAAGAGGCACAAATTTCTTGTATTCGATCAATTAGACCTAATTCCTCAATTTCACAAACTTTTTGTAGGAAGTTACACTAGGTCTTGAGATTTCTAGTTGTGTCCAGATAATTAGTCCAGAAAGGATCTCCAATGCAAAGCAACTATTCATATAAGACAACAACTCTCTCTTGAATATTTGTTACGGGTAAGTTTTTTGTTAGCAGTTGATAAATGATTTTTTCCCCATTAATGTGGGAATTTTACATTAATAATTCATTGCTTAATTTTAAAAATAAGAGGAATAAAATAATTTAAATCTACTTTTTAGAGGAAATATTCCTTTTGCAGTTAAAAATGGAAGAGAGACCAAGTTTCCACCCCATTTGAGCAGGACTGACATACTGCATAAAGCCACAGTTTAAAGCAAATAAAACATAGATAATAAGAAGTCATATTTATGAAAAATTATCAAATCTTTTTAAATAACAAGCACAAAATACGGATCTTGGCATTGTTGAATTAATCCTACTATTCCAAAAACGTTCAACTCTAAAGATTATATCAAGGTTGCCACTCAAACAGGAGAATGAAATTCCCCGACTTTTCCAGGTGTGTTTTAAGAAATTTCCAGTCTATCCGCATAATGCACGTTGGCTGTGTTAAGACGTAAATTAATTATGGAACCACTTAAAAACACAAAAATTTGCCATTTACGTATGACTTATATAATACACAAAGCATAACTATTATAATTATAATAGGTGTTTTCTCCACTGAAGATTGAGATTAGAATCTGCCTAATCTGGATTTATTTATTTATTTATTTATTTATTTTTTCAGTTAAACAAAAGAAAAATCTATTAAATGATATTTTTAAATAAATTCAGGTTTTATATTTATTTTGCAAGTAAAAGCAAAAAATATGTGCATTAAATTTCACAATGATATGTCATTGCTGAAATTAGTTCCAGGATTATGCCAGAAAAATTTCCTGAAATTTGAAAGTATTATTCTAATAATAAATAAATTTAGAGGAAAGAAGCAACATTAAATGATACTAATAACATTAAATAAGATAATTATTAAAAATTGAATTAGAATAATCAATATTTTGTCAAATATAGCTATATTAAATGATTAACCTAGGTGACTGATTACTATTTTTTTATTTTTTATTTTATTTATTTATTTATTTATTTTTATTATTTTTTATTTTATTTTACTGCCAAAAGACAAATAAGCCATTTGTGAAAAAAAAAGGGTTAAAAAGAGTTTACAGTAAAATTCTAGTATTCTGCTACATCCTCGGCACTATTTTGAAAAGTGTCGCCAACACCAAAATGACCGGTTTACTGCTCACAGGGTTCATAGCCACATTTTAGTTAAAAAAAATAAGCACCTATAAGCACTTTTCAAGCACATTTTAAGAAAAAAAATAAGCACCTGTCTAGTTACATTATACACAACTGCATAACCTTAAAAGAAAAATTAGACCTGCAATTTAAAATATGAGCAATGCAATATTTATTAAGAGAACGAGCATTCCCTCAACCATGGAAAACAATTAACTATTTTTTTTAATATTTAAATGCAGTTCAATTACAGAATTAGTTTACAATGAAAGAAAAAAAAAAAAAAAAAACTATGCGATCTAAACTATATAACAAATTAATGATGAAATTTCAGGGTCAAAATATAGAAAATAAATATAATAATAAGCCATTAATTGATTCGCTTGGCACCTAATAATAAATACAATTTATTTTTCCACTCATATTAATATTTAAATAATTTAACTTGAATCAAAATTCTGAAGATTTTCTAAATTTTCATTGCATAAAAGTTCTCCCTAAACATATATTCCAAGCAAAGTAATTTAAGTAAAAATGAGGAACATTTCTGAAATCAGGAGACGGGAAATTGCTTCATGCAGTCATCCTTTAACAGTAAAAGCTTAACTAACCCGCATACTCGGAAATTGCCGAATATTCCATATGGTCGAGCGTAACTGGAAAAAGAGGAAGGGGGGGATAGATTGTAGCCGTTCCTTAGATTTCTCGGCTAAATAAATGATTTTGACATTTCGATAAGTGCATCATACAAAAATAGACCAACGAAATTGAGAAATATTCTGCTTAGAAAGAACAGTAAAACTCTTTTAAGTGTTCATAAATAAATCTCAGATGAACATCAAAATTAATTATTTCTGCAAGATACCGCAAACGTTATTGTGCAATATGTGCCGCGTAATTCTTCCATACGTGATATTACGCAATCGGAATCAACAGCTGCCGGTATTCGGAGAATAAAGAACTAAATAAAGGAAAAGAGACTTACTAATCTGGGGTGCTTTTGATTCTAATTTTGAACATACCGTTAAATTTCCGGAATAGAATCATTCTTCGCCTATTCAATCCAGATTGAACAGTGACAAAAAAAAAAAAAAAAGTCTGGTGCTTCAATATTAGAGATTTTGCGGAGAAAGGGGAGAACCTTCCAACCTCCGTACTGTATAATATATTGGCCAAAATAAATAAATAAATAAATAAGAAAAGAAATTATTGCGACTATTCGATTACTTTCCTTTTATTTAAGCCATTCCGAATATTATTCCTTAGAAAGCTAATCTATGTAAAAATAAAACCATTTTTGGAAGTTTATCTACACTTCAGCAGCTACTGCAACGATATTATTATAAATATTCATACATATGCTCATAATATAAGCACAACGCTCATAATAAACAGGAATATGAACTGACCATGCGGAACGAGAATGTAAATTATTAAAATCTTGATAGAAATTCAAACGTGTGTAGCATTTGGGTGACATGAAAACTGAATGTACCGGAATTTTCTATGGTTTTCGCAATTCTTTGACCAATAGAACGACGTGCACCTGTTTGTATTCTCGCGCGCACCATACGTTATGTTGATGCAGAGAAAGGGGGAAAAGCTATTTCCGGGAGTATGATTCACCATCTGATGTTCCATATAAGGAAGAAAAGTTGTTTATTTAGTTTTGGCTTTGGTACGGGGGGGGATGCACGTTTAAAAAAAAGCACTAAAAACAAAAAAAAAAAGAGGTTGTTTAAAGAAAAAGTAAGCACCTATAAGGGCCTTTATATTTTATTTTCAAATATAAGGACTTGTAAGCACTTGTAAGGACTGCTACGAACCCTGGCTCATTATAAATGTCACCAAATCCCATATGTGCCATATGGAGGTTAGAATAGAATACATGAAGGCTATTCTAACCTCCACAGTACCGTATACTAGGATTAAACCGATTTTGTTTTATCGGAGAATACATATTTTCTTTAGTTCAACATGCACTGCACATGTGAGTCTTTCATAACTCGTCATGAAACAATACATAACTCGTCAAGCGATACATAACTCGTCTAGAAAGTTGTGGCTTCCAACGTCACAGAAAAACATTCTTTTTTTAAGGATCGCCGTACGAAATTCCCGGACTTTTCCAGATTTTGACTAAAATATTTAAATTCCCTGTATTTTTTGGTAAATTTTCGAATTCCCTGACTTTTTCTGGTTTACCAGGTAGCATGGCAACTCTATATAGCGTAGTAAATTATATATAATGCATAATTGATATAGCAGGAAAGCATGAAATGAATACACAAATTATAAACTTATTGTAACTAAATGTCATTTTTGTAGAAAACAGTACTGCATTAGGACATTATCACTTATACAGTACAAAGTCTTTAATCCGGACGTCCATAATCCGGAATGATCTATAATCTGGACCTCAAAACTACAAACTTTCTGTGCATGTGCATAATACCTTTACGGATGTGTGTTTAATGTACAACAGACAGTATAAGCTAGGCTGAAATACTGTATTATCTATTTCAGTTAATGTTGCAGATTGTGTTGTTCCTTAATCTTCTAATTGGATCCGGCTTATTATTTTTTGCAGACTGTTAGAGCAGTTTTATAAAAAGTAAGCTTAACTTTCGGTTATGTCAAAAAGAGTTTCCGATTCTGGAGCTGCCAAAGGATCTACAAAGCAAAAGCATGTTTTGATGTCCATCAAATAAAAAAGGGAATTGCTGCAAAAAATTTATAAAGGCATGAAGAAAATGACAGAGAGGTTAGTGAAAACGAAAAAATTTCAATTGACAAGTTAGTCGGTATTCCCGGCACAGCAATTACAGGACTTGAACAGAGGAACTTTGTAACTGAACAAAAAATTATGTCTGTTTATAGAATTAAAGAGAAAGTATTAGCACATAAAACGAAGCAACTTAAAACAACTTACATTGTAAGAAACGTTTAATAAAGTAAACAAATAAATATTAAGCTCTTTTTTTTGGGGGGGGGTAAATTTTGACACCCTTTAGATCATAATTGCTCTTTTTTCATAAATTACGGTTTCATATTTTTTATTTTATAATTTCTGCATGATATCTTACCAGATTTAAATCGATGATCTATAATCCGGAATCGCAGAAGTTCCGACAAGTCCAGATTAAAGACTTTGTACTATTATATTTCACAGTAGTTCAAGCAAACTAGTTTGTCTGAGCAGTCCACAGGACTCATACGTGATGTCTGTGCATGATCCTCTGTAACTGATGAGGTGCATTGTTGTCTTCTGTCTCAGAATCTAACATTTGTATGGTATGCACCACAATATCTCTATCTACTTCCAGTTCACTCAGAGGGTCCCAGCTGTAATCAAACAGGGACACTCTTTCCTAATAATTCTAATATTTCAGCATCAGTTAATTTTTTATTTACTTTCCTTTTCTTGGGCTGTGTCTTGCCACACTTGTACCATCTACCAGTTTTAAAAATGCACATAAAAAAATTCAAACACAAAATCTGAAAACTTTGCACGTTAAAAGAAAAAAAAAAAAATCATAATAACTCTTCACTAATGTGCCTAAACAACCCCTTCGTTCAAATTTTTATGTCGCACTAAAAATAAAGGATACATTTCATGATAACGAACCAACATCCCATAGAATTGCCAGCATAGAAAGTGACACCATTCTGGCACTTCAGCACGTATGGCAGTCAGTACGTTAAACTAGAGATCAATTCTAAAGATTTTTTATATGCAAGCATCAGATATATTAAGAGTTTCAGATCACTCTCAGTTTGTGAGCCTTATAAATTCAGTTAAACGCCTTTTAATGAACAGAATATTTAATATTAAAAAGAACTGATCATTTTACATCCTAAATTTTACCTGTGCTATGATCAAATTCTTTAAAACATGATTAAGCTTCCAATGCCCAAGTTCATGTGCGAGAACAGCCACAACTTCATCATCATTGCATCCTGTCTTTTTACGAGCCTGAAAAGAAAAAGAAATTATTTACACATAATGTAGTACATTAAATATAGATAAAAACAGACAAGCTAATCATGCAGTATAATAGCTATTTCACAACTGATGCATGTACAGTTTCTGCATGTATCCATCCTACCTATTATTTCAGTTACACATCATATATGCTCCTCAAGAAACATGAGAGAAAAGCCAAGATCCACATAGAGATGAACAGATTTCTGATATGCAGTGCAAATGGAGAGATGACTCTCTCTCTTCCCTATATTGTGACAGGGATAACACCTGGATTGCTTACTCATATTGTGACAGGGATAACACCTGGATTGCTTACTCCATTGGACATCAACTTTGTCTACATTTCTCACCAAATCAAAGAAAGCAAAGTAGACCTTCTTTGATGATTATATTAATCAGGGACAGACATGCTGTATTTCTCATTACTATATAATATGTACCATAAAATACTAAGATTGAAGACAGCCAATTCAGAACAATAGGAACTACCTGTGGTATCTAACCCCGTAACAATCAGTACCTGGCATATGTTAGCACGTCCACACAACTGCTTCAGAACCTTCAGTAGACAACTTGGAAACACTTAGTCTATAGCCTAGACAATTATCTAGCAATTATAATCTTTTCACAAAATTTACAAAGTGAGATGGTGACAACAAAGAACTCCAGAAAATAATTGTGTTTTTCATGGACTGCAGCAGAAGTGGGATGAAGATATACAAAACCAGCCTACATGCAAGGATGTCTATGTAGAATAAAAACCCAATAGATGTACAGTGGATACTTGGACTGCTAACAACTATTTTCACAAATTATCTGAGGGAAAATCATTTGGGGCAATGAATGGCATCTTGAGTTACAAACACTCAAGTTACAATAAACGATTTTCAGAGGTGTTTCAAAGTACTTTTAATGGAAATTTTAAATTCGGGAGGAGGGGCTTATGAAATTCACACTCCGTGACTCTCATGTCAATTTCTTACAGTATCATAAATTTGGCTTGGAGGAAATTGTGGCTAGATGGTGTTACAAGCAGACTTTGAAGGCTTTCACACCTTTTAATCCAAGATACTGTGTGTATATATTTCTTTAATTATGGCAAAGCACTTGAGGGCTATCTGCCTAAGGGAAGAGATGCCTTCATTGAGGACTTCTTAAGGGAAACTAGCTCATATACATGTTCCACATGAGGAAAATCACAAAAGGCCCATGCAGCCATCCCATTCACCAGGATTTGAACCCTGCACTGAAATAACAGAGTAGCGACTTTACCGTTCGGCCACTCAGATGAGTCATATTGTGCCCATTATTACCTGCTTTTTTGATGATAGGATCCTATAACTTAAAAAATTAGCCATTGACTACTGTTCTCTAGAAGGCAAATCCTAAATTTATCTCCCCCCCCCCAACTGCTGGGGAGGAAAGCAATAAAATTTAATTTAAATCCTAGTTCAAAAAACAAAAAATGGCTTTTCGAGAATCAATCAAAAGAAAGTATAGAGGTTAAGAGTATGTTATTCTGTCATTCATCTGTAAATGATGCTAACAGGCAGTTGCATAACCGACAAGCTAATATGCAAGTACCTAGCATTCTTAGCTCAATTATCAACACAAGCAGCAATTTCACATGATTTATCTTTGGAAATACTGAATGAATCAACTAAATTTCTTAAGGAAAATGACATCAAATAGACTTTTAACCTCTCTGCAATGATAAATTAAACTGCAGCATTAAAAATAAATAAATAAATAAAAATAAATAAATAAATAAATAAAAAATAAATAAAATTTGAAAGGTTTTAGATTTTAAATTACATCAAAAGAGGCTTTTTTTAGCATTTTGTCTGTTACTTTTATTTATTAAATATCACGCTCTTCACACTTAAACCATAAAATTCAGTTCAAGAGCACCATCGCAAAATAGTTTTAAATTGAGCCTATCTTTAGCATTTCTGATACGCAGTCTCATGCACTGGAGATATAAAAATTTTTTCGGTAGAACTTTGCCATGGCTCGCTTTGAAATCCTTGAGTTTGTTGATCAGATATTCGTTAAAGATTTACAAAATAGGAAATCGAGAATAAAACAAATTCCAAATTTGGGCTTCCACATGACCATATTTGCAGCAGGATTACATCATTCAAAATTCGATAGTTCTATATACCGTTGTTTTATCAGAATGCAAGAAATATACATACATTTATGCAGATTTTTCATTGTTTAATTTCTTGAAATATAATGCAGGACTCTAACATTTGGTGGCAACAGTTTGAAAAGCGAAACGGACATTTATAGTGATTCAACGCAAAATAGCAAAATGAAAACAATAGTCCTTCAAGGAAAAGGCCCATTTCGACTAATAATTTTAAAACTTTCTCAAGTGAAAAAAAAATTAAGAACTGAATACTATTAAAAAGGCAAAACTTACACGATAGAATACCTTTCGGCAAAGAATATAAAATCTTAACTTTGCATATGACGTATTAATATGGAAACATACTAACAGTATATTTATACACAAAGCCCACCAGAACCAGCAAAATAGTATAATAATGAAAAATTCAATAATTATGAAATGTTAATTTAAACAGAGCTACATGGTGTTTCTTCCAGGATTTGTACACATTTCTGCACACGGAAATTAAGTACTTTTAAGGAACATTAATGGAAAAAATTAAGGACCTATGAGCAAATGGAAACTGAATAATTCAATTAAAAATATTATCTATGCCTGAACTTCACTTTTGTAATATCATCTTAAAAATAAAATAGATCCACAAGTAGGATGCATTATTATTAAACTTAACATAATTATTAATAAGTTTGAGAATGAAATAAAATTTATGAAATTTATCAAGCAGCCTTAAATATTTTATACTTATAATAATTGGACATATTTGTGACATAAGTGACATTTTATTTAGGCTTTACTAACAGTTAGCTTTATTTTTAAATTTTTTTTTAGTCTTATTTTGTTGCATACTTGCTCAGTAAATTAAAAAATAGTAAGTAGATTTTATGTCAAGCGGGACAGGTTAAAATGAGAACTAAAATCATAATCAGCATGAATCAAAACAAAAGACTCGTCCTGCTTGCCTAGAAAGAGACCTGCTGATCAGAACAAACCTGAAAGGACTGATATAAGCACGGTTGGCAAGTTTTGAAAGTTAGCTGGGCTCTTGTCTGACGAGTTAGTGTCGTAGCTTCGTGTAGAGTTCTAGGGGGTGTAACACAGTTAATATACTTTAAGGTTCTAATAATTCACTAAAGCACCAGAGGTGGTAAGTTGTTTTGCATTATTTTAAGTCTCACTAGATGCAAAGAATAAGTTTTACATGAATTTTTACGTTTTTTGTGTTTTATCTTGTGACCACGGTAAGGGTTAACCCACTTTAATATGCAGAGATAATTTTTAAGGGTAAGCAGTTATAGTTATTAAATTAGGTATTATATAACCTTAGCATACTTACCAACCTATGACACTCAAAAATCAGATTTTTTTAAGAAATGGGAAGAATTTTCACAATGTTAAAAAGACTTTTTAAATGACGAAAATATAGTTTTTAATAATGAATTAACTTTAAATAGTAACTAATTCTTAAATGCAAGCAACACAAAAATACCTTACACATAAAAAACATTTTTATTATTTGCATCGTTTAAGAAAACAAAAAAACACTTTAATCAGTTTTCGTACAAATGTTATAAATAGTGGCAGATTTTGCTTTCTTTAAGAAAGAAACTTCATAATTTTGTTCACAGCAATTGCCACATAGGCCTGCTTTTGATAATACAAGTTTTTCTAATGTGTCATCACATTAGAAATCACATGAACATCACATTTCTAATGTGTCATCATATTAGATCTAAATTTAGTCCTCGGTTTCGCAACACTGAAAATCCTCTCACACTCTGCATTACTATGGGGAACTGTCAAGATGGCCAACATAATTCTAGACAGTTCACTATATTTTAAAATTCCATCAGCATCTTTCAGTTTTCTAATTAAACTCCACTGGGTGTCAATCCTAGCTGATTTTATAACTTCATCCAAGTTTTCTAATTGTAAACTGCTGTTATGCAGCTGTTGGAACTGTTTCAATTTTTCCTTCCTTTTAGAATTCCTTTCAAGATAATAATAAATATCAACAATGTGTTCACCCACATTTATTGGTAAAGAAGCTGCCCCTCTTTCAGCTGTGGCATAGTGGCAGGTTGTTGCTCAAGTAAAGGCAGAGAACAGACATTTGCATTAATTAACTTTTGGTCCTTTGTTTCCAAAGAAAAATTCAATTTTTCATTTTTTTCAAAACAACTCATGTTGTCCTTGTGTTTTTGTGTATGCACATGTTTGAGAACATCTGCCCTTCCACCATGTGAAATCGAAAAATCGCAACCACAGGCGGTACAAATCGCAAATTTTTTTTTCCTTGAGGAAATAATGGAATGAAAGCCAACTGTGTACGATTTTTGAAACGTACATGAGTATTTCGCTTTCTCGCAGACATAGCAAAAGATGATAATTTCTAAAAATATTTCCCGAAGGCACGTGTACTCGCACAACTCAGGACAAAATGACCGAATTAACAAAAGAAAATCCAAATAACAGCTTGCTTTTCCTCATTGGCTAATATATGCCAGATGACGCGCAGCAAAAGTTATCTAATTCACAAGGTTTTATTTTAGATATAATCTAGAAAAAATTCAATTGCTTTTCAGATGTCCAAAATCACTTCTTTTTTTTTTTTTTTTTTTTTTTTTTTTTTTGTATAACAAAGCATTAAGCCAAGTTTCATAAAAATCGTGAGAAATTTTAAGAATAGGAAAAAGTCGGGAGAAATATATTGTAAATCAGGTTGGCGGGAGAGCGGTCGAAAATCAGAAGAGTTGGCAACTCTGCCTTAGTCATTATGGATTTACATGGGCACTATCAAATGTTATTTATTTTTTAACAATATTTATTAAAAAAAGCCCTATTAAAATCCTAATCTAATAAAATTTCACAATTTAAAATCTATGTAATTTATGACATTGATTCTTACGACGATATTAGGATAATTACACATTAAAAGCTACAAACCATTTATGTTTTGTAGTGACAACACTCAACAAAATATTTTTGCATCTTTTTAATTTGAAGCCTTCCGAGACATTTTGGCTAATTTATATAGATTTCCTTCTCTTTAAGCATCTTTTCTAGCAATTAGAAATTTGTCTCAGTATGCAAAAAAAAAGTTTTTACTAGTTTCTGAGTCAATGAGTTTTTACTAGTTTCTGAGTCTAACAAAGTCAATTATAGCTCGTGGTGATGTAATTAAACAAGAGTTAAATTCGAACTAAAAATATGGACTAGTGGTCAATTTAATTTCACTTATAGTAAAGGCTAAAATGTAAGCACTGGAAATTTACATAGTATAACTGTACATATCTTTGAAAACATTTTCTTCTCTTTATGTATTCAGTTTTTTCTTCACGTTTTCCTTTTTATTTTAGAATTTTTGGATTTAATTAAAGATTTCTGTTATTCTAAAAAACTAAATGAATTTAGAATGTATAAAAAGGCTGCTTTTGATTTTTAATAATATGAAAATTCAGAAGAATATGAAATATATATGGTAAGGTCCGGTTACGGAGCTGGTGCGACATAATTTTTAGAATTTAGTGACACACCGAGCAAAATCTAGAAATGGCAAGACTTTTAGAATTTAGAACAGGCATTGGAAGTAGAATTTAGAAAGGCGCCAAGCAGCAGAATTTAGGATCCACAGAGATTTCATCAGGTGGGAAAATGCCTAGTGATGCCCTCTGTATGATGCATTCAGACATAGTAGATATCTTTCAAATTGTCAGTTTTCAGTTTCTTTATTAATAAAAAACTTCTTTTATAAATGCCTTCCCATATGATACGATTAGAAGCATTTTTTTACATTTTCCATGCTTGTGTCTAGTGAAAAGTAGAGAAAATATAGGGAAGATAAAAAATGTTAAGAAAAAGATTCTAGTGTCAAAACATTCAACTATTATGTTTTCATTGTTCTTCCAGACATTCTTCCAAAAAGTAAAACTACATGTTAATACAATGGAGACATTTTTCATTTTGTCACATTTTTCTAGAATCATGGGTCTATAAATCTTGCCTTCAAATCTTTCTAAACTTTCCACACTGCAATGTCTAAAATTCTAAAGAAAAATTACTCCTACCAATTCTGTAACAGCAAAAAGCCAGAAATATTTGGGGGAAAAAAAAATCGGAGGCCAAAAAATGTAAAATTAATTTTATAGAGAAAATTGGTGTGAATCTGAATATTCTGAGACAATTAAATGGTAAAACTCTTACCATGAAAAAATTAAAAAGAAATTTTTAATTAATTACATAGCTATTTTGCTATTGCTACGAAATGTTTCGTAAATTGGGCTGTTATAGCATTATGCCTTCCTTACTTTTCAGATTCAAAATGTTGTATAAGTGGCCAAAATGGAATTTATAATATGACAGTGAAAAACAAAAATACTTTACTTTAATGTTATTTCTTAAATATAATTACATTGCCATTATTTTAATTAAATTTATCAATATTACAATGTTCTAAAAAAAGAATCGTAAAAAAATTCCCAGATCTCTGAATTAAAAATTTCCTATAGAAACTGATCTTAAAATCACCAAAATGTTGATAAATCATCAAATTTAGAACCTTAATAAAGAAAAAAAGAATTACCCCCAAAAAGTTGTTTAAGAGCTCTTCATTAGAAAAAATGAAATAATTTTGAAATGTTTATGTTTGACTTATTGCTCATAAACTCAATTCCACCATTTATATTAGAATAACAAATTAAAATGAATGCATTTACCCATTCAAAAAATAACCATATTTGTCAGCGAATCGCCAAAAATATTCCTCCAAAATGCTAATTCACACTCAAAATGACAGTCGTAAAAACAAAGAGAAATTTCAGATGATTAAAATTACGGACCTCCTGCCTAATTTTTCTGAAATTAAGGACTTTTAAGGACGAAAAATTGATTCCAAGAAGCTTAAGGACTTTTAAGGACCGAACCCTGTTCTTCACTTAATTACAGCAAAGCACTTGAGGGCTATCTGCCTAGGCAGAGGAATCCTTTCCGAAGCACATTCTAAGGCAGAAGTTCTCAACCAGAGGGTAAATTCCACAGTTTCAGGAGAGGATATGGCCAGCCTTTTATTTAACTGTTAAGGATTTATCTTCAATTTTCAAGTATAAAAAAATCATTTTATTCAAATTTTGGCATTTATCAACGTTTTCTATACTTTCTCTTGTTTAATTTATAAAACATGTTAAAAAATAATCTAAATTTAAACAAACTTTTTGGGGGGGGGAAGGGGAGGGAAAATGATCTGATAGCAATGATGAAAAGGATGCATAGAAATGATGAAAAGGATGCATAGAGCAAAAAAGGTAGAGAACCACTGCTCAGAGGGCAACTAGCACATATTCAGGTTACGTACAAGGAAGACCAGATAACTGCTGATGAAATCAGACCATTTACATGGGTTTGAACTTGGGTCTATGTGATGATATTTAGTAATCTTATCTACTCAGCCACTGGTGGCCAAATAGCAATTTAGAAAAATTTATAACTTCTTACTAGTGTTTAATATATTTTTTTCCATTTTTAGCAGTGCTTAGTTAACAATATAAAAAATATCTCTATTTTACTGCAACCACCAGAACTATACCCACAACTATGAAATAACAAACAATATTTGCTAGACAGAAATAATATTTCCCTAACAAGTATAATATTCAAAGATTTTTGGTAAAGAATTATGAAATTTTCTAAAATACAAGTATTCAGTGTAAATGAATTACTGTACACATTTCGTTATAAATCAGTTACAAGACAGATATTGATTACAGAATATATGAATGCACTGTGGTCAAAAACAGCAAAGTACAAGTTTCCTTCGCTTAAAGTACAATTACCTGTTCCTCTTCCTCCTTGTTTTCCTCTTTCTTCTCCTCTTTGTTTGCAGGAGTATAATCCTCTAATAGAGTGTCAAACAATACGATTCTCTTGTTTTTGTAAAATCCATAAAAGTAGGCATTACTGTGAGTAGACCTTTTAGAACCTTTCAATAAGAACAAAAAAATGCAATTTAAATAAAATAATGCAACTTCACGTTAAATACATCCAGAAAGTTTTTATCACATACTTCCTAAATGTAAAACTTCATGAATGATACATTGCTAAAAGCTAAGTAACTATACAAATAAGAACACACTACAATTTCGTCAAATATAATATATATATATTAAAGAAGAAAAAAAGAAAAAGAAAGAAAGAAAAGAAAGAAAGAAAGGTATGCGGGAAAAATCGAATACTGGAAATTTTTTTAATTCAGATGAAAGTTCTGAAAACCTGTTTTTAATTTCATCCATTAAAGACACGTGTACATTAAATATACTAAAATATGTTTTTTGTGTAGCCAGAAACAAGAGCCTTTTTTTATTTTAAATAAGAAAACTGTCCATTGTGTATTTCAGAAAATTGGCACAAAAAAATTTAGAGAAAGATTTAGATTATGCATTTTTTAAATTATAAAATTTATAATAACTTAAAAAAAAATTCGGTTACACTGAAATCAGGAAGTACAAAATTTTACCTTCCACCAATTCATTAATTTGATGAAAAAGCGACTAGATATATAATATGCAAACTGATTTCATGAAAATTATAGTTAAATATCAGAAAACTTTTACTGCTTTACCTTCTACAACATATAATTTCTTCAAAGGAAAGTCAATGCTTTCAGCTAACTTTTCAATTCGAGTTCGCAATGCACCTTCAGGAAGTGGTGTAAATTTATCAAAAAGAGGAGCTATGTAATCAGCATATACAGTCATGATAAGCTAAAACAAAACAAGTTGACAAACATATATTAATTATTAAACACATTTAAATATAAACTTAAAATCAGATATGGTAATTCAGATTAAAATCAATAAACTGGAGAACTCCACTTTTTGGTGAATTTAAAAAAAAAAAATTTTCCAAAATCGCATTAAAATTTGAATCACATACTCGAAATAAATTTTTAAAAATCGGATTTGTCGTGATACACCATACCAATGTTGATTTAAAAAAAAAAAAGAAAGAAAAAGAAAGAAAGAAAGAAAAGAAAAAAGGTAAGAAAGAAAAAAATTCTAAAAAAGTTCAGATTAAGTCACCCAAAAGGGGTTGCTTTAAGGTTTAATATAATGTATATTCCGGCGTATAACGGGTACTTTTAATACACAGCATAAGATCAAAATTTATGGGTGCGCTTTATATGTTGGATATAAAAATTATAGATTTAAAAATAAGGGAAAGATGAGCATAAAAAAAAAATTATATTTTTACATGTGTCTAAAATTATGTTTGTTTAAAAGAAATGACATTCCTTATGAATTTAAAAAAACTTCTTTATCTAATAACATGAAAAGTTCCAGATTCATTATCCGTTAAATCTTCAGGCACATACATCATCGAATTCTCTTTCATCTTCAGCATCAATCTTTTCTTGATCCATAAATAAATAATCCTTTTTTGTTTAGACTGTTAGATATCCTACATTTTTAATGACTTTTGAATTATAATTAAATTCATTATAATTAATTTCAGGTTTAATTTTATTCCATGCTTTTATTATCCACTCACACATTGTTTATAGACTGGCATGATGAACTTGACCTCCTTTCCTTCCTTCCCTTCAACGTCATGCCTTCAAATGACTATAAGAAAGAAAAAAATATCTAACAGCTAATTTCACAAATTCATTTGGGTTGGAAGTGCATTCTCCCCTCGAATAACATCTCCCTTTTCTCAAAACCCTAAAATAACATTCCTGTTACTTCCTGTGCACACCCTCTCTGCAGAATTACTTGCTCCCTCAGGCATTATCCACATGCGTATTATTCACCCTTATCACTTTCTCAATTCAGTCTACCACTGTTCAAAAGCCTGAGAAAAATCTTTGAATGAACCACTTCAAAAGATAACAGCATCGCACATGTATCTTTCAGGTTTCTTTGTAAAGGAAAGGCTGCATGTTATACAGTGAACATACCTAAAAACTAAAAAACATAGTCTGAAATTATAAGTGCACGTTATATTCTGGAATATACAGTACTTTATCAATAGAGATGGCCCAGGTGTATTACATTAACAAGGGAATGTTACACTGTATATTTAAAGAAAAATGAAGAAACATATATAATGTAATTAAAAAAATATTTATTGTTTTTAATTAGATATGCCATGAATTAAATGCATTTTTATTTCAAACAATCAGATTAAAAAGTGAAAAAAATCTTCTCAAGAACTGCATCTATTGCTCCTAAAATAGCTTAGTTTATTAATCAATAACACATAAATTAAACTTGAAAGATTAAAAATATTTTGCCAAATGGCAGCAAATTGAAATAAAAAATGAAACAGCGTTATTTACAATGAAAGACATTTAAAGTGAATCGATGCAAAATTGTGCTTTGAGACTAATATGTCTCTCAGGCTAAAAAAAAAATGTAAAAAAAAATTTAAACAAAATATATATTGCATTACGATCTATGATAAGAAGGTCAGAACATATGAGATCAGAGGAAAAAAGGTAAAAGACATGAAGATACGTTTTTCAGATGGTGTCAATTCCAAGGTTGCCCTTAAATGCATATTTTTTTTAGCTAGTGTCACGATGGATGGATTACCTGCAGCCAGGCAGAAATAAAATAAAGAATACAAAAATATATACTCTTGTAACAGCTTTAAATAATATTAAAATCTTGTAGTTTAAATAATTTAAATAGATGAACATTAAGGTATTTGTGAATGGCAATATTTGAAACCAGACTCGAGTGCCTCGTGCGACTCTCGCATGAAGAATGTAATTTATTTTTAAACGATAGAATATGTTTTCTCTTTTTTGTTTGTATGTCGCCATTTTGAGTGCTAAATAAAGTTTTTTTCTGTGTTCCATCATTGGAGTTGCTTCATATCGCCAGAGAAGCATTACAGTCATAATTATTTTGGAGGCACCGACCAAGATCGAATAATTATGCGTATTTTTATTTTATTAGTTCATCACTGAACATAATATTAGTGATACCAGATTATTACTTCCTGTTCATATAGAATTGCTTTATTTTATTAGTTCATCACTGAACGCAATTAGCGATACCGATATTATTCAATTTAATATTAAATTGTCTTTTTTATTACCGTATTTGATATTATATTTAATATTCATTTTAGTTGTGCAGACGGTAGATTTATATTGCTCTATGTTATTATTCTTATTTTAATCACAATTAATGTGGTAGAGAGAATGAACTTCATATAATTTAATATTTCATTTTTGAGCTATTTTGAGGAAATATAGGAACACAGTGTTCGTTATTAAAAACGTAGAAAAATGCTTACTTAGGAAGAGCTCGTAAGGAAGATTTGCAAAATCTCGCAGCTGAACTGGGAGTTCATGTGACTGCAGATTTGAAAATATTTGATTAAAATAGAAAATTGTTGAAAGTAGAGATTATGATGAAGTCTTCGTCAAAGGAGTTTTAGACACAATAATAGAAGAACGGAAAAGAGAGGGAGGAAAGAGAAGAACGGAAAGAAGGGAGGAAGAGAAGAACGTAGGAGACAGGAAGAAGCAGAAGATCGGAGAAGGAACGAACAGTATGAATTAGAGAGATTAAGACTTGAAGCAGAGACAAAGTCTCAAAATACCGGAAGATCCGGCCGAAAAAGGAGCTGCGTCACCTTATGCAGAAATTCGATGACAAGAAGGAGATATCAGTCTATATTTGCTATTGTTTGAAAGGCAAGCAAATGGGCTAAAATTGATAAAGAAGAATTTGTATCTCATTTACTAAAACTACTTCCTTATGAAGTAACATAGTTGATAGCTAGAAAACCCTACGATAAAGCTAAAGACTATGAGCATGTGAAGAATTTATTGTTAAGACAGTTTAAGCCAATCCCTGAAAAGTTTAGGCAGAAATTTATTAAATATCAAAAGAGTACCAAATCCACATGGGTGGATTTCAACTATGAAATAAAAAGTTATTGCAAAGAATAGGTAACTGGTCTAGGAGTTGAGACTTTTGATCAGTTGGTAGATTTGATGGTGCTTGACCAACTTAAATGTCGAGTTCCTCCTGAAATTCAAGATCATTTTCTTGATGAGTGGATAGAGATGATTTCATCTAAAAAATTAGCTGAAAAACTTGATGTCTATGAAAACATTCGTGGAAACTTTCAAAAAAGGTCTGTAGTGGATCGGCAGAAAGAAAGATACAATGCACTAACTCAAGGTAAATTGAGTTTTAGATAATAAAAATAAAACTGAAAAAAAATTGTCATCAGGATTTTAATACGCAAAGCTTGTTTCATAGACCTAGAAGTCCACGTTCAGATTATAATATGAAAAACGAAGACGCCACAATGCTAACTGTGGGTCCTATCAACATTTAAGGCCCCAATGTCCAAAACTTAAGAATAGGACTGAATCTCCTGCTAATCTTAACAGAATTAGTGCAAACCAGAGGATAAAATTTCTATTACCTTATACTAGTATGGGTTACATAAATGGTCATAAATTCCTATATTAAGGGATTCAGGTGCTAGTATTGATATAGTTTGTCGCAAATACATCACGCCGGAAATGCTGACAGGTGAAAATGTGTGGGTGCAACAGCCATTAGATTTGAATCCAACCTGTTTACCATTGGCTGAGATCGAACTAAATTGCGATCTCTTGGGCGTAATAAAAAAGGCGGCCATTATTAAGAAATGAACTCGACAAAAGGAGGTATTTATTAGGCAATTGAACTTTGCACTGTTGATAAACAAAGAAAGGAACCTGATAGTCATCCTTATCAGGTTAATGCCGTCTCTACTAGATCTCAAAGGAAAAGAAAAAATAGCTGAAGAGAGATCTTGAACCGATGAAGGACGAAATAAAGTATCCAGAGATGTCTTTGAAGAAAGTAAAATCACCGGAATTAAACGTGGAAGATGTTCACGAAAAACTGGAAAACGATAAAGAAATTAATATTGGGAATCATTTTGCAATGCAGCTTATATCTCATCTTTTGGCTTTTGATTTAATATCAAAGCCGCTACTAATAGACGAAGAAAACAATTGTCGAAAGCAAATGACAAATGAATATTATCCGAAAGTCACAGATGAACTGAGGAAAGGCTTTGCTGTGAATTATAGCCGAGGAACTGGTCCACCATGGAAGAGATCTAGGCGCCGTCAAGAAAAAAAGGGAAGACTAATTTGATCATTTTGCATCTTTTTCTACTTAAATGTGGTATAAAAATATTTGTTTAAAACTTAAAAATTTTGGCCTGAAATTTGGAAACTTATAAGAGAAATTATCTTTTCTCTTTAAGCAATTGAGCAAGCCGAGCTTATTAAAACTGTCAAATTTTACAGAACTTTTCCCTTCGGTAAAAGTCTCTCCATTGGGGGAGAGGTTGTAACAGCTTTAAATAATATTAAAATCTTGTAGTTTAAATAATTTAAATAGATTAACATTAAGGTATTTGTGAATGGCAATATTTGAAACCAGACTCGAGTGCCTCGTGTGACTCTCGCACGAAGAATGTAATTTATTTTTAAATGATAGAATATGTTTTCTCTTTTTTGTTTGTATGTCGCCATTTTGAGTGCTAAATAAAGTTTTTTTCTGTGTTCCATCATTGGAGTTGCTTCATATCGCCAGAGAAGCATTACACTCTTAGCGTATCTTAATAAACTATCAGAATTTGTATACCATTTTCAAAATAAAGATACACCTAACTCATCAACTTTAAAAGATTTTTAAAAATGAAAGAGAATAAATGACAAGAATTTTGACTGATG